GGCTTTCGCAATACCACCGTGAAACAGTTGTCTGTTTGGGATGAGTTAGGTTGTTTCCAAATAAAATAAATCGAGTCAATTTTAATTTTGCTTTGAATTTTTTTATCATAGATTCTTAGTAAACTTACATTTTTTTTATAATATTAGTTATATCATCAGTGAGCAAATTTGTGGATATCAGTAGATGCTAACGATATTTTTTTTACAGATGTTTGGTGTGATATTTCTCCAGCTGCTTACCCGTTTTCTTAAACGTTTTGTTTGTTGTTTATCCAGTGTTTGGTTTAATGCTCTAACTTCTCTACATTAAGTAATCTACCCAAAATTCTCTCCCATCGAAGCTTTAGTCAATGTTCGCAAAGTTATTTCTGCATCACTTTATCCATGTATTAGTTTGGGGTTTTATGTTCAATTTTTGTTTTAAATATTCATCGGATTGCCTGTGTAGTATTCATATGATGTTTGTTTTCTGTGAGTAATTGGGCTATATTGCCTATTTCACTAAATGTTCATGCTACTTAATAATTTTATTCGTATTGCCCCTTAAATGGGACTGGACAGTAAATGCCCCATAGCGTTATTTGGACTAAATTAAAACAAAACGCAAAATGTGATCGAAAGCAACCATTAATCAATATTTAAACCCAAATAGAAAACATTTCTGGGAGTCGTTTAATCTAAAAACAAAAACAAAACCTTTGCACGAAATATCAAAAGATTTATAAAAACAATAAAACTTGGTGATTTATATTAAAGGTTTTCTACTCCTGTCATTAAGCCAGCTAGACACATAACATAGTTTTAGAACGTGTGACATTGCAACCCCAGTCCGTCAAATTGTGCAGTTACGATGGTTTTTTATGAGCAAGGATATTAAGATTGGTTGGAAGTTAATCTAGCGAGCTAGAAGAATTAATGAGGAGGGAAATGGGCCTAATCTTATCGCGGGTCCCGAGAGGATTAACTCTCCAAGTCAAGTAATTGTCCTGCTAGTTTCAATAGGGGAGGTATTTGCTGCCTGATAAACAGGTTTATTGACAAGTAATTGCGACTGGAAGCAGGTTAGAGACTTGGGTAATAGGATAAAGACTGTCATTTCCTTTGTTTTTCTTTCATTCTAACTTTTCATCTTTATTCATCCTATTTCTGTTGCGTACCTTAACATAATAGATTGTATAAGGAATTATTACTATTTGGCACTGGACTTAACATAATAGATTGTATAAGGAATTATTACTATTTGGCACCGGAATCTTCTGAGACCCAAGTAATGAGATATTAATTTGTCTGCGCTTAAGAGCAATATAAAATATATTACAACTGAGCTATAAATTAAATATTTGGGAAATCTGGTGCAAATAGTAATAATTCCTTATACAATCTATGTCAATGGTTTTAGTCAGTTGAAAACGATAGGAAAACGCTTCGAAAGCTAAAAGTATCCTTCACCAAACTGAATTGTAACATGCTTTCCACATAACATGCAAGGTAAAGCAATATACATATCTTATAAGCACATTGTCATTCTGCTCAATCACAAAAAAACGATGGTATATTACGATGATATATTTGTTGATGCTCTATGATATTCTGAATATGATGTGGTATGGAAAATTTCGAAAGCAACGTACCCGTTTTGGACATGCTACAGCTCAATCATGCATAAATATACAATATGGAAACAATGAATCGTATAAGACGTATTGGTCATTCCAAGAGAACACAACATATGATATAGAGTTTAAGAATTACTTGCCTTTTCAAAATTTGTTATTCAGTTGTGGGACTTAAAGTAATTTGAAAATACCTAATACCTTGATTTAAACAATGATAAGGGTTTAAAATGATAGTAGGATTTTCGCCTTTTGTGTGTTCTAAAAAAACAATCTGCAGCTAACTAAATTAGTTTGTATTAATGTTGATGTAAATATTTAATTGGGGTGGGGTGGGGTGATATTTAGATTATAAAATATGTGTTCCTGGTGCATTTTAGTTAAAAACTTCAGATTCACTATTGCAAAGTTAAACCACATAATTTAGCAGTCTTGAAATAAAATGTTATGTCCAGATTGGCATCTTCTTGATTACAAAGAATGTAGACAAGTGAATCGTTTTAGATTGTTCTGAGGATTAGTTTTATGCCCTTTTCTAATCAGTGGCCAAACTGTATTTTTAATTGAAATTTTGAATGTAATCGAAACATTTGTCTTATGAAAATCAATAGATTCCAATAAAAAGGCCAAGAATATTTAAAATCAAGTGTTGACAAGTGTCATCTGATATCGCTACTTGAACTATCGTGCGATATTTATACAATTTTACCGAATGTAATAAAAAGATAATCAAACGGTCCCATGAAAGAAACATGGGTTAGTGTGGTATCGATCAGGTCTAGAGCTGGGAGAAGGGTTTATAATTTCAAGTCTTATTCGATTACTTCGAAGTTACAGTTGTAATAAAGTAACATCAGACCCATATCAACCCCACAACTCTAATCTTTAACCTTAGTTAGAAATGTGTATTAGAAAAATACCATCTCGGGTCCGTTATTTGAATCCGTCTCACGCTATTCATCAGTCGAATGTTTTCTCTGTAATCACCAGCCTTCAAACCCCATCACTTTACGTTTCCTATAATTATTGAATCTTTTCACTGCGCCCTCTGACGTCAACATCATATTTCATGTGGTGTATGAGTGGATCTCGTGCCACGTACTGGATGCTAGAACGTTATTTCGTGTAACCGTAATGAAATCAGCCAACCTAGACCATTAATGTGCGATTTCTGACACGATATGAAAAACTTTAGATTGGTGAAACCAAAATGCAGCAAATACGCTTTCTTTTTTCCTGTTTGAACTGAAGATTTATTTCAATACCGTGTCTATATTACAGCGAAGTTTCTGAGGTTTAGTTTTTCACAATCACGTGTTAGTTGCGTGAAAAGACTAAATAAGATATGTAAACTAATCAATTTAAAGTTGAACATGACACCCAGTAGAGTTTGAAACCACTGCATGCTATAAAAGTTTCTAACATCAGATCAAATGTAACTTTTACACGAAACTAAGTTAAATCGACGATAGACCCTCTTTCTATGATCCGTACTAAAATATTGAAATGCAGACAAAATTATAAACTGTTTCAAGATATTTTATTCTGTTAACATACTCAATATTCGCTCATGGACATAATATAGAATACTATGAAGTGTTTTATATAATTAGTATGGCTGTATGTGTTAATCCCCCACCCCACCACCAGTCTTCAAATTATGCTTTTAGGCTTGCATTTTTGTTATTTTGTTATACCTTATTTATGTCTCGAAATGCGCAAATGGCATCTTATGCGCATGTCATCTCAGATGATTTTAACACAGCGTTTAGCATAGATTCTCTTGATTTTAACCATCGGCGAACTGCTTCTGATTTGTCTGTGCATGTCAGTTAACAGATTCACCAAACCAGTTTCAATAGTACGATAAGTATATTTCTTTAGTGACCGCCATCTTGTCTGGGTTTAAATTACAGCAGTTTATTCTATAAACAGCATATTTGATCAAAGTAGCGGAAATTGTTGAATTCTTTTGTTCTTGATAAAAAAAAAATCTCCTACTCTTAAAAGATGACTTTGTTTGAAACAAGTTTTATTTGCAACAGGGAGATATTGGATTTCTTCATGTTGATAGGTGGGGGCAAAAGTGACTATAATTTGTAGACAAATTTGTTCATTCCTTATGTTCATTCCTTTGAGTTATTGAATGGTGGGTGTCGTACATGGGTCAGTGTATACTTACTCTTTCCAAGCTGCCTTATACTAATTCTCATTTAAGAGTTCATATAGCCCAGCAATTGTCGTACGTTTGTAATTAAACCACTGAGCTATAGTCTCTGCGTATGACCTTTAGTCCGCCATGTAGTCCGGTAACATGTTGGGATTCTGAAAGCCCAGTCCAAACTATTATTCTAGTTAGCTTTCCAAATCCGCATCCAACATGTTAGCCATAAGTATTGAAGGGGCTCGTGCTTGCGGCGGGGGAGGCGCAGTTGGGGTCTGATTACTCTTTCTAGGAGACCGGGACCTGATACACGTTAGTTCATGTCACTTACCAACGTCTGCGTTACCATTCGTTATCGGGGGGGGGGGCGAATGGTTAGCACGTGCGCGCTGTATCACAAGGCCTGCTATTGAGTCAACTGGCTGTACGGTTGTACGTGACCATTAATAGGATCGCCTGTCCAACCTCGTAGGTTTTCTCCGGGTTCTACGATTTCCTCCCACTGCTAAAGACCCCTAATAAGCGAATTATTTAAATAAAATTGAACCATGTGTTAGTCCCGAAATAACCTGGTTTGTGTCGAGTGGGCGTTAAACCCCATTTCTCTCTCTCATTCGTCATCCAAGACTGTTCATGTATCGTTCTATTTTAGCATGAATACAATACTATGTATTGGGTGATAATTCATGTGTATCGTATTTCGTATTCTCTCTATTTTAAACACAAATCTTGTCATTTGCATTTTCACTAAAATATCAAATATCATCACGGCTTAATCTACGCTAATATGTACTCCGATTGAAAATCAAAATAACAACGCTAGATAACCTCCCGGCTAGGTTTCAATCGGAATCAAAATAGGCCTATCAATTATGTTGGCCCATAACATAATGGCGACGAGCATATCACATAGTGAGCAATATACATCGATGACATTTTAGTTTAGTAAACACTGGACGGAATTCAACCATTTTTGGACCGATTTCGTGTTGGGAATGCCTCTTCACAATATTGTAGATTACAGGGGGTTCATATTGTGCTAAATTGACGCAATGAGAATTTAATTTGATATTACAGGTTAATTTGTATATTTGGATTTTATTTTTATACATTCCAGATTGTTTGCTTAGTCGATTTTTTTAGTTTGATATTTCAGGATAATGTGTCTTGGTAAATTGTGTATTTAATTTGCTTATTTCATATATATTCTATTGATATTTCAGGTTAATTGCTGATGTACAACTATCCGTTTTAAATGTTGATACTTTTGGACGCGAATTCCCTAAAAAACACAAAATGAGTCCCGATTCTTTCATTCAACTAGCTTTACAATTAACACATTACAAGTAAGTGTGCTTATATTGTTGTTTGGGGCGGTACGTCATCACGGACGATATCTTACTCACTGACATGATGTCCGTATCTCGGCGTGGTCCGAAGGAATCTCAGGTTCCCACTCGTCAGAGTTAGCGCCTATGGGGCAAACAGGTAAAGGGTTGCCAGGGCGTACACCAGTGTACTAGTTGGCGTGCGGGTTAAAGAATCCTTGAAAGTTGGATTTCAATAAAATTAAGTGTAGGCGGAAACGCCGCTGTTCGGGCAAAATTATCTCCGCTTGTTAATCTCAAAATACCAATCTCTTTGTATCATTAATACCAAAAATCTGCAATAAACAATATAATTAATTTTTTTTTAGAGATGTACAATAAATCATAAATAGTCGATCAAATCCAATAATTGATACAAATGAAAAATTCAATGGAATCCGTAAACACACTTGACAGTAATTATTTTATATCATTGATTCTAAAATCGTTTATCAGATTTAATAAATATCTTTATTTACAATCTAGACGTTACATTATATAACTCAATTAAAATAATTGTAACAATTATCTGAACTTCCCATCTACTGATTGATCAGTATAGGATTAAACAACACCATTTTCAGACTACTTGGTGCCGAGGAACTTCCGGTTTTATCGATCACGTGATAATTATATCGGAAGTAACAAGAGATTAGAAGTAATTTGTGACGCGTTTATCAAAACACGTGTTCTTTTATAATAAGCGATTTTACCTTCGATAATTGAGTCATCAATATATTATCTAGTGGGTTGTTAAGCCTTGATTGAAATGGCAACAGACAAAACAAGCATTCATTAAGTAAAATAAGTAGGCATTATGCCCTATGTAACACACTCAAAATTAATACAAATATTTTGCTAGATTTTACTACATTACGACGTCAGTTACAGATGTAAAATAATAAAGATTGATATTGTGGACGTTTCATCCTTAAACTGCAGTAACGAACTGACCATGTTATGGAAAAGACATGTTTTCGAGAATTAATTATACGAATTGATAAGCTGCTACCAGATAAATCCAAGATTAGCATGAAATGAAATTATGTTAGAAATGAAATATCCTGCCTGCTTCCATATATCACTACCCGAATTTGATTTATGCATTTATTGACTTTTAATTTGATTTCCATTTGGGTCTCGACGGTACTATAATATATTCATACACACGGACTTATTTATGGATAATTCTGGAAAAAGAAGTGAACAAGTAAACAAATGGAAACTTTATTTCAGGATCCATGGTACACTAGTATCAACGTATGAAAGTGCATCTGTGAGGCGTTTTCGGTATGGACGTGTAGACGTGATAAGGGGAAATTCCCCTGCAGCTTTAGAGTTTGTTCGAGCTATGGTTGGAGAATGGCAAACAACTGTAAGTTTTATAACTGAAAAGTAAAATGGCCAACTGTTTACAAAAACTAATACATTTTCTCATATGGCAATTCCATCAATTGAATTGGACAATCTATAATAACCTTACAACATTCAAACTGATATTACCAAAATGACCCCCGATTACCAGAATACAATAGTTCTACTACATGATCGTGACCAAATATGGTTCTTGATTAACTGTCCACACGACATCCCTCATGAAAATTAATCTTCGTAATATCCTATCAAATGATAATATATCAATAATCAACCACTTGTTGGTTTTTTTACTACGTTAGATGCTTGTTGAGGTGTGGCACATTTCAATTTTCCGAACCCAATGTTGATACATAGTGTGATGAGTGATAAACTCCTCAAAGGGCACCATCATCCTCCTCAAAAAGTAGGACATGTACTTTCGATTTTAACTTAAATCATTGTGTAGGTTACCCCATATTATGTTGAATTCCCAGGAATCCTACTAATCCAATCGATTGTCTAGAGCGTTGCTTATTGGTTTGTCATGTGCATAAATGTCTAAATAATAATTTATATAAAATTTGAATCTAGAAAAATACCTACAATAGGCATATTTGACTCTTACATAATGCGTGAACATCCCATATCAAAATTGATTTGAATGTAAATTACCATGTAGGTTAACTTTAATGTTGACCTTGATGTACTTGCAGGATGAAGATAAATATGCTTTAATGAAGGACGCTATCTTGTGGCAGAGTAATTATATGAAGGAATGTATCCAGGGTTACGGTATAGATCTACATATATTAGGTTTACGCGAGGCATGTAAGGGGTTGAATATACCATTACCAGGTTTATTTACTGATGATAGTTACAGATTGTTTAATAACTTTGCTCTGTCTACTAGTCAGGTAATAAACAGTTCACAATATTCATTACAAAATTCTTCACTACCAATCCCAAGTGGCACAGTTGTGTAGCTTTAGTTCGGACATCATGATCCGGACTTAGACGTTTTATCAGTTAGCACCTACTTTGGCTATAAATCCTCACTTCAACAACCTTATCGCCACAAAGCAGGATTTGGGCGATATGTTCGAATTGGTTGATATTGCATGACTGAAAGAATGACCATGGATTTAACGTAAACTATAGTATATTTTCACGAGTCTAACATTGCAATGATTCTAGAATCGGTCATCCAGAGTAGGGAACGTTTACTGACTGTCCATCGTTATGGGTGGCTACACCAATCTTACCTTTCACTTTCAAGCCGATACGAAGATAACAAATCTAAACATTTAGAGTGGATAGCTTGTTCTAGACCACATCTTTAAGTAGCAGTTTAATCGAATCCTTAGAAATATGTCCTGCATTTATATCTTCCTATTTTAATTGCATACCACATTTCTTTTCATAGGTTGGTACCAAAAACATGACAGCTGTCTGTTATGGCGCTGTTGTACCAGAAGGTTATGGCGTCTGCTACAATCCTCGCCCATCGTCTTTCTATGCAGTAGTGACGTCCTTCCGGCGTTGCCTAGATACCGATTCCACCATGTTTGCCAACAGTTTAGAAGCGAGTTTATTACAGATGCAGGGTCTGTGTGAACGATGTGATATTACTGAAGTGCCCAACCATCAGTTATAGATAAACAGGGTTATTTTCAGTAACTTCTTTTAAATTAGTTTCATAGAGGATAACTATTGAAATTATAATGTAGGCATTATTCAACGACTTCTAAAAGAGAGTTTATTAATGACTTTATAAGAACAGAAGTAGACCTTTTTTGAAGTCATTGGTCTACAAGAATACAAATTTCGTTCAGTGGCAGTGTGGAACATTAATGCACTGTGACACTGTGGCTATACATGTAGTAGATAACAAGTGAATGTAGATAGATTATGGAATTGGTAGTGTTAGGTAACCTGTCGCGCAATATATTTTACGCCTGACTCAACTTTTTACAACCTTTAATATGTTAAATCTAAGTTATACTATTGTTATACCACATAGTGTACATATGTAGATGATAGTTATTAATGTTATTTTTAACGTGTATAATATGTATTTTTATATAGGTAGTGTCAGGTAGTAGGGGTTAGATCTTTATAGAATACCATATTAATTAAATATTGTTGTGTAAAATATGGAATATCTGATTTAATCAATAGCAATTGTCTTCTCGCTTGCCAGCAAATTATTACATAGAACGGAGTGATTAAAATTGAAACTTAATTCTTATACCAAAACACTGAATTAATTTTATTGTTATTTTGGAACATTGTTAATATTTATCTATAAACGTTTTCGCTTGTTGCGCCTGGTTTTTCTCCTTCAGAATTAAGTCTGATATTCCATTTTTAAAAGTAATGTAGTCAGTATATTGTCCAACACCAACAAAGGAATGATGTTTTATAATGTCAGTATTATGAAACAGTAAACCATATATCCCATACATATCACATAGAGAAACATAGTTATATTTAGTAGCAGACGATAGTTGTGATAGAGTAGTACATAGTTTTGATAGTATTTTTAAATGAACAATACATAGTATCTGTTAATATACAACTTTATGTCAATGAGCAGTATGATCTGTTAATATACAACTTTATGTCAATGAGCAGTATGATCTGTTAATATACAACTTTATGTCAATGATGAGTATGATCTGTTAATCAATATAAAACTTTATATCCATATACATAATGAGCAGTATGATCTGTTAATATTCATCTTTATGTCAATGATGAGTATGATCTGTTAATTAATATAAAACTTTATGTCCATATACATAATGAGCAGTATGATGTGTTAATAATTAACTTTATGCCAATGATGAATATGTTTGAAATGAAAAAGTAAATACAGGACTGGTAGTGCATGAAACATTGAAATGCAAGTTAAAATACACTAATGATGTTGCATTGTTGATTTCTGGTTTTACAGATATTTACAATTGTTTAAATACTGTTACAAATGTCAAAGTAATCAACGGAAAGCGAGTACCATATGAACTGTAAGCTATATGGAATGCAATCAAATGGACATGCTCTTTACGAAAAAGATACGGAAATAAAATAGAAGCAGTCTGTGAGATTATTATATTATTCGTTTTGTGTATATTCTTTTTGTTGTTTTCTTGTTATGAATATATCGACTATTATTATTTATGTTATTTTCTTTATCCATGCGTGTCAAATACACGTACTGGTAAAAAGTTGGTTTCAATACAAAGTTATTGTTGTGATTCAGTGATTGTGATAATATTGTGATAAACACGATATAAAGGTCGGTATAAAGTGCAATACGTTGAATTGGTTATAATTATGGAAACCGTACACTTATTATAATAATATAGTTCACTTATATGATATGTGTATTCAACATTATTTGTTATATTTATATTATTATGTGTTTATGTTCCATACATATAGACAGTTGTGTTGATGAATGCGTGACACCCTGACTTATGGAATAGAAAGATTATGCTGATTTAAGTTTAAAACGTTGAACAGTTGAATACAGTTTCTCAATAATGTTTACGTACAGATGTAGACAATTGTCTTTAATACCTTTTCATTTTTTAAAAAAAAAAAAGTGCAATACGTTTTGTAATATGTTACGAATACGTGTAGGTAGTTCTATTTATTTTTTTTTATTTTATTATTTTTTTTAAAAAAAAAAAGGTGCAATACCTTTATGTGTTAGGTATAATAACCGGAACAATACACTTATATAATGTATTTATCTATTATTATTGTTATTTGTTATATGATAATTGGTAATATTATTGTTTACCTATAGACAGTTTGCTCTATATTATATGTCATAGACATGTACTGTATATCATTATTAATGTTTTAGAGGACTATAACAAGTAATACAACAAAACAGCAGTTGGCTATTAAATTACCAAATCAATTCATACATTTTATGTTAATTTGCACATTTTAAAAGGTGGTTTAATATGACTAAGATACCATGGTGGTGATGCTTTAAAGCAGATGGTATATGCACAAATAACGACATCAGCTACTAGAATCAGCTTAGAAATTTTTCAACATCCCTTCCGTTCAAAGACCACATTAAAATTATTGCTTCCGTGGCCTTACTGTCGGAGTCACAACTTGCAGTTGTTTACTGGAACATGTAGAAACAGATAAATATTGCCATTTTAAACTTGTAGACGCCATATTGACACATCCCCTGGTATTTTTGACGTCATTAATAGATTCTTGAAGTATCAAAAGAATTTAAATGTTCATCCGAGTAACTGTCATGATCATATATATTTTGTTAGAATTATAATGAACATGTCAAGGCGTAAACGAAGATGTTTTATCAGTTGTAGATGCCATTTATTTATTTTTTTCTTACATAACTTCGATTTACCACAAGTATAGTTCTAAGAAATCAGTCTGTGAATATAATGTGGCTGTAATAGAACAAAGCATATTACTAACTATTCCATATAGATTTTGACAAATATTGTCTTTATACACCCACATTGTCGTCGCCCCTGTCCGTCTGGACGTCCGTCCGTCCACGATTTGTTTGTGGACAGTCTACAGGTCCGATTTATCCGATTTTGACGAAACTTGACATATAGGGTTATCTCCTAAAGATCTCGGTTCCTTTCGATATTGGCATGTATCGGGCAGTAACTTCATGGATTATGGTCTCCGATTGTACGAATCACATTGTTAGATTGTGGAAACTCTAGAGGTCACAATTTGTATCCGATTTTGATGAAACTTGAAATGTATGTTTTTAACATCAAGACCTCAGTTCATTCGATATACGCGCAACGTCCTGGATTGTGGCCTCTGATTGTACGAGGTCACAATTTTTAAACAATCTAAAAGAAAAACGTTTGAATAACGGTTGAGTTCGAATTTCATGAAAATCAGACCGAAACTACCGCACAAAATGGCCGCTATATGTACGCAAATAATATTAAAGTATGTAATATCAAGGTTGTGGACCCTCTAGAGGTCACAATATTGATCCGATATGGTTAAATTTAAAGCAAGCGTTTATTCGCGCATATCGAACCATAACTTCCTGAATTATGGTCCCTGATTGTAGGAAAAAATGGCGATTTTAGCTTGTGGACCCTCTATAGGTCATAATTTTCATACCATTTTAAAAATCGTTTAAATTTATGACCGTTACACCCTGATGATGGTTGAGTTCGAATTTCGGAATAATCGGACCGACACTACCCAACAAAATGACAGCCCTTGTACGCAAATAGACTAAAAATATGTAATACGAAGGTTGGCCGTTTTTTGTCCGATTTTGATCAAACTTAAAATATATCTTCATATCCAAAAGATCTCAGCTCCTTTCGATATTTGCGCATTTCAGACCATTTCTTGCTGGATTGTACGAAAAATCACATTTTTAGCTTGAGGACCCTCTATCCGATTTTAAAAACCGTTTAAATATATCACCGTTGGACGGTAATGAAGGTTGAGCTCAAATTTTGGGGAAATCAAAATGAAACTGCCCAACAAAATGGCCACTCACTGTATGCAAATAGTGTAAAAGTATGTAATACAAAGGTTGTGGATCTTCTAGAGGTCACAATTTTTGTCAGATTTTGATGAAACTTAAAATGTTTATACCCCAAAGATCTCAGTTGCTGTCGATATTCGCTCATGTCATACCATTACTTACTGGATTATGGCCCCTGATTGTACGAAAAATCACTTATTTTTTTAGCCTGTTCTCTATCTATCTCTTCAAAATGTGGGTGTATCTTGCATGGCAACTATTTGTTCATTTTAAAGTGACTTGAAAGTGATCTGAAAAAAAAACGACGGGGGGGGGGGGGGGTTGTTGTTAAATAGTCGGCTTGTGATCGTTATTTTCAAGAATATTGTTTTGAATATGGACCACTTGTATATTAAAAGAAGTAAATAAACATAAAATTGTTGATATGATAAAATTAGTTATGATTTGTGTAATCATATTACCAATGACCACTGCATACAATTTTTTGCAAATTCACCAAGCAGTTATGGGCCAAACCATAGATATCAGACACTTGGGTGTACAAGATGTGAACCTATATGAGGACTTTAATTTTATAGGTAAAAAAAGGAGTCAAAACTAAATATTAAAGAAAATGTAAGTTATAATGATTTATGGGATAGAAAATAACCTAAGCATTATATCATGTTTCTATCATTGATTTTCTTCTTCTATGATACCAAAAGTGACTGCAACCAGCTATTTGGCTCAATTATAACAAATCATACGTCTGAGGAATTTATCTTTCAGATAACGAATACCAAAAAATACGGCAATTTAAGGGTTTTATGCCTTAGTTTAAGTTCAGCCTGTCAGGTCATATTATTCCATAAAAGTATTCTTAACACAAATTATTATAGAAATGTCATATCCTAATACACGGTATCAGCCTTAAACCTAGGACAGAAAACCATTACCGATCACCGATGTACTTGATTTGTAAATACTAGATGCCAGATAAGATTATCTAATAAAACGTTTACTAACATAAATTTCATACAACTGATGTAAATCTAGATTCTATAGACTTAATGATGGTGTTACATCATACGGTTCTGCACCAACTTGCATTAGGAAGACGGGATACTTCTAGGGGAATTTTGACCGGACATCTACGTTGCCACTTACGCTTCGTGGAATTCCGTCTGTCTATGGTTCTTTAACATGTACGCCGACGTGTACACGGGGCCTCGGGTTTTGTCTCATCTGAACCACTAGACATTTCTCCTTGCCACACCCTCCGTTCTGTAGTCCTAACCACGGGGGGAAAATGCTGAAAAATCCCGAAGAATTTTTTCGGCATACACCGGGATCGAACCCGGTACTTTCTGGATAGTGAGTCAGTGTCTTCCTCATCCTCACTGGGCTAAGTGCTGACGAAGCTGTAAAATGTTATCACTTTGTTTAACTGTTTGTGGACTGTCTGAAACCTAACACTTTGATCGATGACTAAAACGGCTGTATAGACAAAGTGGATTATCACCGGTCTGAGTAATATTAAAGGGCTCAACCATCTTGATAACTATTTTATTAACCTGCAACGTTTCGACGAAGATACTCTTGTCTTTATCATCTGCTTGATAAGGACGAGAGTATCATCGTCGATATGTTGCAGGTTAATAAACCAGTTATTATTCCATAAAAAGTTTTTATTGTGTTACTGTTAAATTACTAAATGTCACTCAAAGAAGGTAAAAAGAGAGAGAGAGAGAGAAATGGGGTTTAACGTCCACTCGACACAAACTAGGTCATTTCGGGACAAACATAATGTGGTTTAATTTTATTTCAATAATTCGCTTGCGCGTAGGGGTCTTTAGCAGTGGGAGGAAACCGGAGGACCCGGAAAAAAACCCACGAGGTTGGACAGGCGACCTTACTCCTTGTCACGTACAACCGGGGATTCGAAACCACGCCAGTCGACTCAATGACAGACTTTATGATACAGCGCGCGCACGCTAATCATTCAGCCATCCACCCCCCACCCCCCTCAAAGCTGTTAAAGATGGGTTCCCAGAAAATTATTTATCGGGTGGTTATTTCCAATAAAAGTATGGTAATTTTGGTATATATGGAAAGTAGAGATATCCAATCTTATTAGAAAAATACTGGATTCCCCGAAAAACACTCATGGAGCGTATACGGGACAAAAATGTAAGGGTTCCCCCTAATCAACAGCCCGACGATTAGGAATTTCTGCACGCGTGATTTCAAAGGTCACATTGAGCGCTTGATGTACAAATTGATAAACATTATGAAGAGTTAGACGTACAACACTTTCTGAGTTAAAAATGACGGAAAAAGACGCGGGTATTGGATAATCCGAGAATTTAATTAGGATTCGATATTTGTTATAAATAATAAGCGATTAAAGACAACATCGTCTTATGTATGCAATGAATTCTCCTCTGACTTCCAAGAGAGGTAAGTCACGTGACGTAAACATGACCTGGTTTGATCGAATTTTTATAGCAGGACATTCCTTCGCAATTACAATGTTTCAGAAGGATTTGAAGCAAAGTCATGACAAATTAATTACATGTAGTTTGAATATGTTTTTAGTCCATATATACCATTAAATCACCCAGTTTGTACGCGCGAACCCATCTTTAATGTTGACTTTGAATTTCACAGATAATATAGAGATGCGTGTAAAGGCTTTGGTTAATATATCACAGACGGTTAGAATTCGAATACAAAACGGTTAGAATTCGAATGCGAAGCGGTTAGAATTCGACATCCCACCTCCTTATCCCATACACAGAGTAAATGAATTCAATTATGTAATACTTGCATCTCTCTTTTTGGTGACCTTATATATATTGTAGATCGAAGTTGCCAAATGAAGACAATAATATCATAGTATATTAAATAAGCAGTAGAATTTGTGGCAAGCAGGAGAACTAAAATGATTCTTAGCTCCTGGACCCGAGTTTTGTAATCCAGCATAAATTCGTCCTAATCCATTAATTGGCATCCTTGGATATGAATCCCCAGCATGTGAGTGCTTTAGTGGCTGGTCGGTGTTTCGAGATATCCCTTTAACAACCACTAAGTGGTGTGGGATTTATCGTCGATTAAGTTCGACACTTCGATAATATGCTGGGATTGATGCAATTAACGAAATAAATACAATTATTGAGTGATACGAGAGTGCTCTTAAATCTGTTAACATACTAGAAATGTTAGAACACGTTATCTTTATTTTCCAGGTTTACAACTTAATGTTTCGAAAGTCACGTAGCCAAAAAAATTAGAAATTGAAAAATGTATTACCAAAAACATTTCTAGGAGTGAGTGGAAAGTATCCTGAACGGGTGGTATAACATAAACTACTGGTACTGATTTAATATACTATATAGGAAATACACATTTGGTTACTCTTGTGGTTAAAAGTTATAAAGTATGGACGATTGATTTGTGAAAAAGATAAGCATCCTTTCGTCGTTCGTATAGTTTTACGGTCGCTTCCACCTTGGGTGATATAGTAGACAAAATAAACATCCAGAATAAATATATCATAAATACTTTGACTTTTCGTATTTAATTGAATATTGTATTTAACATCAGGGGTCGTGGTGGCTCAGTGTATAATTTTCACTAACCAGGAGATCCGGGGTGGTGTTGGTCGAGAAAGCTTTCTGGGATTTTCCAGTGTGGTTTCTCCTTGTCAGTGGTGCAGGACCGAGGCAAGGACAGCGTCTAGTTGATCGGGTAGGATAATACACCGAGACCCCTGTATACATTGGCGTGCACGTAAATAAACCCTTGGCAGTTGGAATTCCAAATAAGAGTATAGGCCGTAGCGCTGCTTTCCGGGCAAAATTTCCCTCATGGTACACTATATCCCGTGTACCAGTCAACATTAGCCCAGTCGGTGTAGCAATTTAGGACGTTAAACCCTATTTCACTTTATTCCATTTATATTTAACATCCCAGATTTATTAGCGATTGAATTCAGCCAAAAACAAAATAAGAAACATTTAGAACTATTCAAATCAAGTTCTGAACAATAGTAACACTCAGAATACAATTTTATTCCTGGAACTGTGGAGAAAACAGTGTTAACATATTCTATAATAATGATCATCTGGTTTTCATCCACTTTCAACAAATTACAATAATTCCCAAATACATCATAAATATTCTGTCGACAAATGAAGAAAAAATCACCATATGTTTTACAGGAAAAAAACAAGTTGATCGTTTGTTTAGATTACTGAATATTAGCAATTATGCAGCGCTAGATGTTTTCTAATTCAATTTATATCTGGGAGAATTAAAAAAGGAAGTAGACGCTCTATGGTCCCTTTTTTAGTCTGTATAACAGGCGTGCTTACCACTTCTAGACATATACTATTCAAAAAAAGTAGGGGATATTTGATTTTGGGGGCATAATACTAAAATATGCAAATGACTACGAAAAAAGTCACTATAGAACCTAACAGAAGAAACATTTCCAGTTACATGTGACGCCCAAACGCACCAATAGCTACCGCATGGAATGCAGGTGATGCTTGGGATCATCATGGGGGTCCAACCAAAGATTTGCACGACTCTGACTTTGAATGTTACAGTCATTGTGGCATTGAATTCCAGGGTGGAAACATCAGTTTAATTGTTTTAGTGACCAGAAAACAAACTTTGATATGCGTCGGCTTACCCAAAATGAAAGGTTACGTGCCCTTGGCATGCTACAGATCGGCACAACACAGGCGGTTGTGGCGCGGACGATGAATGTTTCTCAGTCTGTCATAAGCAGGCTATGGTCCAGATACCGTGATACACAATCTGTACAGGACAGACCACGCTCAGGTCGACCAAGGGCGACAACTCAAGCCCAGGATCGATTTATCCGTACCTTGGCCTTGAGAAATCGTGTCATCACAGCAAATCAGATCAGCGCTCGTCTTCAAACAGACACTGGTGTGAGAGGGAGTGGCCAGACGATTCGGAATCGACTGCATAGGGGTCACCTTCGCGCCCGACGTCCTCGCGTGATCCCTTGTTTGAGAGATCATCACATTCAGGCAAGACGTCGTTGGTGTAGGGATCGTCAACACTGGGATAATCGACGCTGGAGCAATGTGATGTTTTCAGATGAGTCAAGGTTCACTGTTGATTTTTTGGACAGACGTAGGAGGGTGTGGCGTCGTCGAAACGAGCGCTTCCAAGACGTTAACGTCATCAGACATGATCGATTTGGGGGTGGTTCTGTTATGGTGTGGGGAGGCATCACTGTTGCTGGAAGAACGGCTTTACATGTTGTTTCAGGGCGTGTTACAGGCCAGTACTACCGGGACAACATCTTGGCAGTCCATGTTGTGCCGTTCGCACGACGTCATGGCCGCCGTTTCATCTTCCAGGATGACAACGCAAGATCGTTACAGGTTACCTCCAACAACAGAACATCACCACATTACCTTGGCCAGCACTGAGTCCCGACCTCTCCCCCATCGAGCATGTCTGGGACATGCTTGGACAGAGGTTACGTCAACGTCAACAACGTCCAGCCAATGTCCAAGAACTTGCTGCTGCGTTGCAACAGGAATGGGACTTGGTTGTGATGCTGTGGTAACTTTGCTGTTTGACCCCGGGTATCATTTTACCCTTATAATGGTCAGTCTGTGCCTTACTTAGTCTAACGATCATTTGGAATAAATCGATGAATGTGAACTTCATTTCATTTTGTCATTTGTTTCTTCGTCAGTTTCATTAGGTGACTTTAATAACACTTAAAAATCAAATATCCCCTACTTTTTTTGAATAGTATATTATATTGTTATAGTTGAATATGGAACAGACTACTTTTTACCCTGTGCTTGATAACGACAAGAGGACAATTGTTGAAACGTTACACTATTAAAGTTGCTAGTGATTGTTATCCA